AACTTTAAACCGCATAAACACATTTCATTACACCAAATACACAAAATAATGTTCTTTTTAGCAACATCATATGACCCCTTTAAAGAAACACTGTAGCTAAAAGTCCTACCGCCAGACCTGGAGATCGGCTGAATGGATTCGAAAACGGTAAAACTCAACTGTTTAACTCTAGGGGAGTTGGAAAATGAGCCTATTTTCAAAAATAGTGAAGTGTTCCTTTAAGTCATTATTCACTGATAAACTTTCCCTCCAGTGAGCTGTTAACCACTGTGATCAAATGATTGAATCAACGAGCTGAACTCAAGAACCAAATCAGTCAATTTGTGAATGTGAATGAATCATTCAGATTGGGTTTGTGAACCAGATGAAACAAATTCTAATCATTAATTGAACATAGACTCAAAATTGGTACTTCTTCCATTAACTAATGAAACTGTTTAACTCTAGGGGAGTTGGAAAATGAGCCTATTTTCAAAAATAGTGAAGTGTTCCTTTAAGTCATTATTCACTGATAAACTTTCCCTCCAGTGAGCTGTTAACCACTGTGATCAAATGATTGAATCAACGAGCTGAACTCAAGAACCAAATCAGTCAATTTGTGAATGTGAATGAATCATTCAGATTGGGTTTGTGAACCAGATGAAACAAATTCTAATCATTAATTGAACATATCAGACTCAAAATTGGTACTTCTTCCATTAACTAATGACGTTTAGTGAATAACTGCCTGTCCATCACACAAAGATATCGTAAGACTTACAGTAAAGCAAACAAGTCATTTAGACTTCATTTATAATCATTTTGCATCTTTGCATTCAAGCTTGAAAGCTTCAGTTATTGTTCACTGTAGTTGCAAGAAAAAAAAGACCACAAAAATCAAGTTTTCAAAATGTCTCTTTGTTTTCTATGGGGGAAAAAAGGAACTCAAACAGTAGGTGAATAAATGCTGACAGAATTTTCTCTAATTTTGATGTGATTAATTCTGTTTCTATAGAGTTGAATGTTTAATTGGTTTGGTTGAAAATTGTCGCTCTAAAACAAATCAAACTTTTAGGCACACACGCCTCTCTGAGAACAACTGTAAATTAAGCTTCTAACATTCTCATTCTAACATTCTTCAGACTGGAAAAGCAACTTTGTCTGCAAGGACAGATAAAGGAGGATCACTCAAGCCTCGAAGCAAGAACAAATCTTCAGCACAACCACACCAACAGATTGCGGCTATGTGCTTAAGGAGTTTTCCTTCCTCTCTCACAATCCCAACACCTCTGAAGACATGCAAACATCACTGTGTCTGTCAATTCCAGAGAAAACAGATTCAGATAAGCCTCATGATAACAGGTACTTGGTGAGCTTGTTTGTTAAGGAAAAATTGAGACCAGTGATGGTGTATCCAAGCATAAATCAGCACTTCAAGCGAAATGAGGTTCCTACAGGAAGGCACCTTGAGTTATTGCACAATGCCAATCACAAGGCTTTACCAACTACTAAGATCTGAGAACAAGTCAAAAGCCGGTTTTCCACCCACCTGTGGCTGTGAAAAAAACACTCATCATCTTGTCAAGAACCATCATGACTCTCTGTCTGTTGAATGTGCATTCATGTTTAGACCTGTCAAAGGGTGAGTCTGTTATATCCGCAATTAAATTCCTACCGCTTTCCTTTCTGTACCGTTCACACAGCCAAAAAGTTCAATTCAACTATGTTTAATATGTTCAAAGACTATTTTTTTCATCTATGAACCATATTTTGTAGTCTTGTGCATTAAATCCAGCTCACTGTCTGTACTAGCGTCCTCATACACTATAATCTCACTATTCATATGAAGAAACAACCTGCAGAGCAACTTCATGGGTGGGAAAATAACTGTAGAAGTTCCAGTAACACTCATGAAAACACACAAATCAGCCTAATTTCCAGATTTAGATTAGATCTATCAATCTGAATTCTGTTAATGACTAATGAAAAGTTAACCAAAGGTTTTGCACTAGTTTTATATTGTAAACAACAGTGAAGTAGCATCTAAAGAATGAAAATGAGCTCAACTGTAACGACTGTAACGTTACAAAGAAAAAATGCTCAATATATGCAAAAATGATCAGAGATTAAGCTTAATGGTGGAATATATGACAACAAATAAGTTTAAAACAAATTGTAAAGAGAATAAAAATGCTTAATAATTGTATTATTATTTGTAAAAAAATATATATATATATATTTGGAAATAAATGAGGTCAAATCAACTTATATGAAGAAACAACCTGCAGAGCAACTTCATGGGTGGGAAAATAACTGTAGAAGTTCCAGTAACACTCATGAAAACACACAAATCAGCCTAATTTCCAGATTTAGATTAGATCTATCAATCTGAATTCTGTTAATGACTAATGAAAAGTTAACCAAAGGTTTTGCACTAGTTTTATATTGTAAACAACAGTGAAGTAGCATCTATAGAATGAAAATGAGCTCAACTGTAACGACTGTAACGTTACAAAGAAAAAATGCTCAATATATGCAAAAATGATCAGAGATTAAGCTTAATGGTGGAATATATGACAACAAATGAGTTTAAAACAAATTGTAAAGAGAATAAAAATGCTTAATTGTATTATTATTTGTAAAAAAAATATATATATATATATTTGGAAATAAATGAGGTCAAATCAACTTGACTATGAAGAGAAAGAATTGCTCAAAACATGCAAAAACGACCATAAATTAATTAGTTTCTTTGACAAAATATTGCAGAAGGAAAACAACAACAACAAACAGTTACATGAGTCCATATGAATGAAGGAACCAAAGTGTTCTTTTTTTAAAGGATTTTTTAAGTCTTAAAAAATAAAATTATTACATAACTGTAGTTAAAATAATTCTGTACACCTGCTGAACTATAACTAGCTCCAGAACATATTAATGCCACAGTGTTATAACTATTGCATTACTTTCAAATACAAACAAATGCTCTGAAGAGGTGAAAAATGCACTTACCGCTTATTAAAATGCCGAGTGCACGTTTGTTTTGAGGTTTAATGCTGTTGTAGGCTAGTAGAACTCACATAAACACATGAAAGCTCCCGCTCACTGACTGACTGACTGATGGAGCTGTAGATCGGACTGAACCAAATCACCGCTGCGAGGGGGGAGGTTTCATTACACCGCACTAACCAACACATTACTACTAATTTAAATAAGTAGCATTTGTCAGCGACAACAATAAGTGCACAATAAAACTGAAATAGTGAGGGAAATCTGCAAAACTCTGGTTGTCCGTGGTGAAAACCTATATAAATAATCCCCCTCCGCTAAATTCATGAATATGTATGACCCTCCTTTAAATTGATATACAACAATAGTATGTGTGAATGTGTATAACTGTACACTGCATTTTGTTGCTGTGATGAAATAATGCAGTAAAGTGCGATTTGTATAAATCGAGTAAGTGTAAAAGGCATTAATTACTCAAGGTTTTACTACAAGCTTGTTTACTGGTCATGCAGGCCTTGTAAAACACGTTGCTGAACTACAAAAATTCACCATGAAAAAACTGCTTTCGCCTAAAAACGTAGTTGATCATCGAACTATTGTGGTTTTTGTAAGCTTCTTATTATAGTCATATAATCCATTTTTACGACCATAATAAGAAGTTACAACCAGTCAAGGATCCTGAAACCTTCTTTTCACCAGTCATAAAAAATAAATAACATCAAAGAACATGAAACCTCTTGCATTCTCAAATAAACACATAAATTAAAATATAAATAAAAAGTTAATAGATCTTGTAGCCTTCTTATTATAGTTATTGTTAGATGTCTTGACAAACTAATAACATGTTTATGACTGTAATAAGGTTACAAGCTGACAAGGATCCTGGAACCTTCTTACCAGTCATATAAATATATATATAAATAAAAGACCATGCTAAATAAATAAATACATAAATATTATTCTGAAACTTTACATTGATTGAAAGAAAGCCCATATTGGTTTATGATTTTAAAACAGTAACATTATCTGTAGTAGCTACATTATTTTAGTGGAAATTATGATTATTTTCCAGTGAAATATGGTGAGTGTGTTGCAGTATAGGCTCATGAATTAACGGGCAGCTGTGTGCCAGTGTGTTGTTCACCATATGTGCAAAACTGTGCAGAAATCTTTTTTCCTCACTTCAGCAGGGTTTCCTCTTCTTTAAGCAATAACAATGAAACCTGGACCTGCCTGGGTCAGATTAAATCCATAACAATCAGATTACTAATCAAGATCAGCATTAACCTGTCTGAGATTACACTAATTCAGGGCAGCGGAGACCACCGCCATCCCACAATTAACCACCCGAACATCTGATCATACTGCAGAATAAGATGAGCCATGCCGTTTGTGTTTGTGGGGTGATTAAGGGTCTGTTAAGGGTCACGACAGGCCATTAGGGATTATCCTCTGTTTCCATTGTGCCAAAAAGATGTCCGCTGTCTTGCCAATTTCAGCCTCTTAATGGTCTCCAGGAAAATAGCTGTGTGCGGTTTTCAACCAGTGACCCCTGCTGTGATCATATTCACATGACCTTCGATCTCTGGCTTTTTCTCTGCCCGGACCGCATGACATCATCCCGCATCACTGTCCGGCACTCGGAGAGGGCGTCTGGAGAGCTGGGGGTGGTGCTGCTCAACAGGCTGCTTTCATTCAGGTCTTTAAGGTTTCCATGGTGACCCCACATTCCAAAGATCAGCTGGTTTCAAGAGGCCACATGCAGCAAAAACACTATAGAGGGGGAAAACATTCCTATTATACATGATCATTCAATGCAAGATGAAAAAAATTTGTTAGTCAGACTAAACAAATAGGATTTGATAATTCACTATGATGTTTCAAGAAAGTAAAATAAAAGAATAAATAAAATAAAAAATTTTAGGCAACATTTCTCATTTTCATTTAGTCAATTTAAATTAATACTTAGTAAAAATGATATAGACATAGACAAAAAGTAAAATAAAAAATTTAAATAATTATAATAAAAAAAAAATTAAAAATGGAAAATATAACAATTCAAAACTAATTCAAAATAATATATATAAAAATAATAATAGTACCTCAATTAAACTAAAATAATGCTGCTAGGTATAATGAAATGCATCAGAACAGTATAAAATGTCTTTCATTCTGAGACCTAGTAAACAGTGCCATCTAGAGAAGAAAATGTGTCAATGACTCTTTTTCATACAAGGACAGTTCATAGACGGATCAAAAACACAATAAAAGTATCATAAAAGTGGTGTGTTATATAATAAGTATTACATTATCTTGTATTAGTGTTCACATTAACTTAAGGCATTAATGTTTCTTACACAATGCTTTTGTATGACTTCAAAAAAAACTCATGATATAAGCGCACAAGTCATCACTTGAAATCAAGTCACAACTGGAATAAATTTACAAATAAATTTACAAGGGGGATTGTAATTACCTACCATTATGGAACTTGGCTTCCACAGGTTTTGGAACTATTCCTTTAATTTAAAATAAATACAGTAATCCATGAAAACAAAGCTTCTATTAAAAAAAAGAAAAAAAAAAAGAGAAAAAACATTTATTGCGAATACATTTAATGAAATGTGGAGTCCATGTTACAAAACCATTTTAACAAAAACAGGATAATTTCAATGTCTTCTTTAAAGTATTTTTGCACACAAGCATCAACAAATTCCTCCATAGGAAACTGAACATAAATACTCTCCCACAGCTATGTGATCCGATTACTAGTATTTGTGCTGTTTTAAACTGACTAACCATCTAGCCCACACACCCGGCCCATTGTTAATTAGTTACCTGTATCCCCTGTAAAAATAAAAAATAAAAATACTAACATGCTAAGCGTTCGTTTTCTCCACCCAACACCAGGCTGGGTCAAGATGGGCACCAGAGACATCGTATAAAACCAACACACGGTCCAAGGCTGCTTCGTTTCAGCTACAATCACGTTCGTCTAGGTTCAGGAAGCCTTTGACGTTGTAATAAAAATTTTTTTTAAAAATGCGTAGTCAAATGGCATTTTCTTAATAGAAAATATGTTTTATGCAGTTCGGATGCAAGCCAAACCTAGATACCAAACGTTCAAGTGAACATGCTTTTACCATGAAAACGACCTGGATTTCCTCCCCGAATAAATAGTTCATTCTTTTTTTAGCAGCTACATTTCCAGTTCAGCATAAGATAGTTTAATAGAATGAATTGTTAAATGAAAATGGTAAAATTTACGTTGTACATAAATAACACTGAAAAAAAAAATACCACAAGGAGGTTTGATTTTCTTAATAATGAATAAACCATTAAAATAAAAAAAATAAAAAAAAACATTTAAGAAAATGGCAGTAGAAAAATAAAAACGTTAAGTTCCACATTCACAACAGACTAAATAGAAACTAAATCAACAACAAAAATAACACTGATATATTTTGCTTTACCTCCAAGAGCATACTTAAAACTGTGAGGAAAGAATAACCAGAAAAACATCCGTTTGCAGTGAGGTATTCGCTTCTGATCTAGCAAGGCTACTGAAAAAACTTGAGCCCTGCCACCAGGAAGAACTTTTCCAGGAAAATCTCAGAGTCCAGGACGGCGATGTGGGCTGCCCGGCCAATCAGGGAGTTGGCGGTGTTGGGCAGCGCATGGATGACATCGTACCGCACCAGGTTACAGTCCTTCTGAAGCACAGGAAGTAGAAGGTTCTCGATCATCTCAGCATACACTGGACCTGATCACACAAGAAGATGAAGAGGTAAAGAACCAGGAAAAGGAGAGAAATATGTTGTTAGAAGCAGTAAAATTATCCTAAAAGCTTGGACATTGTCCCTAAGATCTTGATCCTTGCTAAAAGTATTAACTTAAAAAAAATAAATAAATCTCACTGACCCTAAACTTTTGAATACTAGTAGAAGTCATTTGGGTTTGGAATGAGGGTAAATAGATGGTCTTAAAACAACTCTTCCTTTAATTCTCACCAGTCTGTTTGTCCTTTAAGGCTGTTTTGCACATCTCGATTCGAGCAGAGTGATAGGGGACATATCTGTCCTGAAGAGACCCCACCAGCACCACGTTCTTAAAGAACTGAAGACCTGAAACAGAGTTTGAGGGTTTGGAAATGGAGAAACCCAAACTAGCATCAGCTTGGTGGAATCAAAATAACGTCACACTCACCAGCTTTCTTGCTTAGCTTATAGAGGAAGGTCTGGCGTGGGTCAGAGTGGTCGCGACAGGTCAGCTGCAGCAGAGAGCCAGATTTCTTCCACTTCTGCATAAACCACAACCCTGACGCAGAGAAAAACGAGAGAGTGGTTCCTAAAAACAGTTGAAAAGGAATAGCTCATACTGTCATCAGAAAACTGCTGAGTTCATGCGGATGGGTTACCGGTATTGACGAGGGCTGAGCTGTTGTACAGCGTGCCGAGATGTGGTCCAGACAGAGACAGAAACGTGTGCAGTCTGCTGAGATAACACTTAAACCTGGGCCTCGTCAGCACTGAGCGCACGATCAGATTTCCCAGAGAATGACCCACAAAACTGTCAAAGACAACATGGTAATTCTGTCATCCCAAGGCAAGATGCGTTTTAGCTTTGACAAACTCGTATTTTTCAACTCACGATTTATCAACAAGGTCAAATTAAAATTCAATTAGAGGCCCAGTGCAAACTGGCACACTTGGATTAACCTCCACTTGCAAGTCTGTAAAATTCATTTTAAATTCACGTTATTTGTCATTTTGTGGTGCAAAATGGTGCTCAAGTGTGCTCCCTATAAGGCCAGAATGAACACGATGCACACAGTATTAGGACAGAGCCAGGGTCAAAAACTGACCAAGGCTCAGGGCAAAAAGAGCCCCAGGTATTTAAACGTGTCCCTGTGGTGAATTCGTGCGTGGGTTTTTTTTATGTCTAGTGTTTTGACACAACAGCTGTATTTAATTTATTTAATAGAAATATGCAAGATAAATGGACAAAACTGTCAAATGCCCTCAAGATCAATCATCATGGCTCCTTGATAATACAAGAAATGTCACACTGGACAGGGCCGTTAAAAATGTTGTCTGTAAAAATACTGAGGTGCTTTTTCATATCGGAGTTTTACTTTCTCATATATTTGAGTTTGAGGGAAAGATGTTACCTTATCTTGGAAACTGTGAGGTTGTAGATTTGTATGTACTGCACAATTTCGTCCAAAAGTCTGTCAGTCATGGACTCAAAATCAGCAAATGTGTCATTCTTGAATAATAACCAAAGAAATTAAATAAGGTTAAT